CATGGTAGTGGGAGCGGGGAGGAAACCTTTAGGAACTAGAGGAAAGTTGTATTTCTCATCGTTGTTACATCGCACCCTGACTGGCTCGATGAGACCTCTTTAGAGTGCTGTAAAGCAAGGGTGTTACTTTCAGGACACAGGTGCACCTGACTCAAGCCAAGGAGCTTTCTGTTGCCTCGCAGACTGTAAATGTGGAACTTAGCGCTGAGCAAGGAAGACTGAAGAACTGGCGCATTCGGATGGCGGTGCCGGTGAAGAATACTGAAAGGACCATGCACTGCTAAAAGGGCAACTGTCTTGGCAGAAGTGCAGTCAGAGTGCTCCTTAGAGACAAGAATCGCAAGGTTTCATCTTACATGCTTTGGACATGTTGTCAGGCGAGCTCCCTGGAGAAGGACATTATGCTTGGCAAAGTGCAGTGAAAGAGAGGGCGGCCCTCAATGAGATGGACGGACACAGTGGCTGCATCAATGGGCTCAGGCATGGGAACAAGTGAAGACGGCATAGCAGTGGGCAGTGTTTCGTTCTGACGAGTAGCGGGTTGCTATGGGTTGTAACGAACTCAATGGCACTTAACAATAACAAGTAAAATGTATTATTACTGATGGAATCCTAAAACAGGAAAAGAATATTATCTTTATTCAGATGCCACCAGTTTTACTAATATTCTTTTTCTCTACTGTATCTCTATTGCCATTGAAAATTACAAGGTGGCTCTTTTTTCCTTAATAGTTATTTTTTTGTAGTGAATATTTTGCTGAGAAGATACACAGCAGAACAGATACCCAATTACCCATTTCTATATGTATAACTAAGTGACCTGGATTCTATTCTTCCAGGTGGACAGCCACTCTACCTCTAACTGCCCTCTAAGTTTCCCATCTAATCTTTCAAGTTTATACCATATAGGTTGTTCTGTAATAGTAGAATCATCCAGTTCTTTTGATGTCATGGGAAAAGCAGCATTTGTTCATGGAGACAATTATCACACATTCCATACCTCTTCCTCTCACCCTCAACTATTCTCCCTCTGCTGCTCCAGGTAGAGACCAGGTGGTGTACCTTAGATGGGCTGATTACACGTTTTTTGTTTTGAACAGCTTTATTGATATATATATAATTCAATGCTTCTAAGCTTTTAAGACCCCATACACTACACAAAGAACTAAGAGGTGAAACAGAAGCACTCGTGTGATGAGAGCAATGAACTGGGATTTTCCTGTGAAACCCTGACCCTAAAACTTCAAACAAGGAACCTGACCTCACGAAGGGTCATGGGTTAGTTATACATAAGTAGTTTCAGCTGCTGTTTTACTAGGCTTTGTCGTTTTTTTGCAGGGGGAGGGGAGTTGTTGCAGTAAATATAATTACCACACAACTTTTGGAAGACTGCTCTGCTTTTGAAATTCTTCTTTCCACTTTCCTCCTTAGCACAGAAGAGAGAAGGTCAAGTTATCCCTTCCCTTTGTCCCCCTTTTTTTTGTAGTGACTAGTATTTCCCATTCTTTCTCAAGCCCCTTCATTAAACGTTACGAGTAAGATCAGAATGTCTGCATGCTCTCCTGGGGCCTATTAATAGCCACCATAAATGGAAATATTTCCTGTTCAGCTAAACATACTGACAATACATCATCTCCTCAGAAACTAGTTAGCATTGCAGTTTTTTTTACATATTAAACAAAATCAAAACTTATGTCACACAATTTAGAAATTTGGTAAGATCTTGAATTTTATTTAATATTTAGTACTTGACCTAGAATATATTAAATTCATTTTGGTACTAAACAAAAAGCATATTTGAAAATACTCTGGAGATCAATGTGGTCGCATCAATTAGGAGCCTTGAAGAATTCCAAATGACTCCTGATAAAAATAATCAAAACAATCTGACAAGAGCAAACAAGGATCAAGTTGTCTGACCACTGTTGCTGCTGTGCCCCATGGAGCCTGTTCTGACTCAGAGCAACCCTGTGTGAAGCAGTGGCACTGCCCATCAGGTTTTCTAGGCTGTAATATTTTTTTTAAATCATTTTATTGGGAGCTCGTACAACTCTTATCACAATCCATTGTTCCATTCATTCAGCACATTTGTACATTTGTTGCCATTATCATTTTCAGAACATTTTTTCTCCTTGAGCCCTTGCTATCAGCTCCTCATGTTTTCCCCTAGGCTGTAATCTCTATGGGAGT